TTTAGGATGGGCACTGGGGCAGAATCGCTGGGGCAGAAGCGAGGGCCGATGAACCCGGGGGAGGGGGCGGCGAAGCCTGATTTTCTCAAGAGAGGAGAGCTGATAAAAAGGGGGCGAGTTGACGCGCCCCATGCCCTGACAGACATCCCACGCGCCCGCCCGCAACTTGGTTTGCAAAACCAACGCGGCGGCGATGGCGATGCATGTTTGGCGTTGGCTGGTCAATCTCAGCGGCCGCGCCAACCCGTGCACGCGCGCGCAGCGGCCGGCTAGTCTGGCGCCGCCGACGCGGCCGCGGCGGCGCTGACCGCTGGGCACGCCCCGGCGGGCACTTCAGTGCGAGTCGACGACTTGGGCGGGCGCGGCATCGTGTCAACTTCGACAATGGAAGACGCGGCGATGACAGTTGGCGATGTTGGCGGCGACGTTGACAACGACGAAAGCGCGGCCAGGGCGGGCGCCGATGCCGATCGCGCCGGCAACGATGACGGCGTCCACGCGTCGGCGACGAAGGCCTTGGCAAGAGTTCGACAAGCGCGCGGCCGACGCGCGAGAGCGGCCCGCGCGGCATTAACTGAAGCGGACCGCGCCCCCCCAGAACGCGCGCGAGGGCGCGCGGATGATGTCTTCGCGCGGCGCGAGAGGCCTGTTTGGCAGAAAGATACATGAACATGTAGTGAAGCATATGGTTTCTTGAGGATTCGCAAGGGCGCGGGCGCGCGTAGTTTTGAAAACGGACGTTGCGAAGCCATGTGCTGGTGCATTATTTTTGACACCCTGCTTTGGACCCGCCACGCCACCCGAGGTTTTTGACGGATTCCGGCATGCGCGCGACGGCGCGCGCGCGCGTGCACTCCGCCTCATTTTCTGCAGCGGGTTCTCGCGGCGCGGGGCGCTCGCGCGATTTCGACGCGCGCGCGCGAAACCCGTTGGGTAGCATGTTATGAGAATTGTAAGCCTGCGCTTGTTTTTTCCGCTACCTAGGCTCTGCCTAGAAGGGTTCTTATTCGGTAAACTTGAAGGGCCGGGCAATGGGGCTCGCCCCGGACGGTTCCCCCCGCATCCGCCCCGCGTTTCCCCTGGGGTCCCCCCGCGCCCCCTGGGTGAGCTTTGCTTAGCTTCGCTTAGCTAAGCTAAGCCTTAGCTTAGCTTAGCTAGCTTAGCTTTGCTCAGCTTTGCTTATCTCATCTTAGCTTTAGCTTATCAAGCCAAGCCTAGCCTAGCCTAGCCTAGCCTGGCTTAGCTTAACTTAGCTTAGCTTAGCTTAGCTTAGCTCATCTCATCTTAGCTTAGCTTAGCTTAGCTTATCTCATCTTAGCTTAGCTTAGCTTCGCTTAGCTTAGCTAGCTTAGCTTTGCTCAGCTTTGCTTATCTCAGCTTAGCTTTAGCTTAGCCAAGCCAAGCCTAGCCTAGCCTAGCTTAGCTTAGCTTAGCTTAGCTTAGCTTATCTCATCTTAGCTTAGCTTAGCTTAGCTTAGCTTAGCTTATCTCGTCTTAGCTTAGCTTAGCTTAGCTTCGCTTAGCTTTAGCCTGGCCTAGCTTAGCTTAGCTTAGCTTAGCTTAGCTTAGCTTAGCTTAGCTTAGCTTACTTTACCTTACCTTAGCTGAGCTTAGCTTGCCTTACCTTAGCTTAGCTTAGCGTAGCTTAGCTTAGCTTAGCTTGTGTCATCTTAGCTTTTAGCTTAGCTTCGCTTAGCTATCTTAGCCTAGCTTAGCTTTGCTTAGCTTAGCTTAGCTTATGCTGCTTTCCTAGGGGCTCCAACTCCTAGGTAGGGTCGCACTGGGATAACTTATGAAACAGCCGCCAGAGTGCGCGCCAGTTTTTTTCTGGGTTTGGAGATCCGGTCTGCGAAACAATATTTGTTTGTTATATTCTTTCCTGGGCGCTCGATTGCGAAACCGAAGAATTTGAAAATATGTCGGCACGCGCGCGCGACAACGCGCGCCCATGCGTTTCGTTCCATTGGTTGCAAGGGATTATTGAGAACGGTTTGTTTTTGATAAACGAGTGCGCGCATGTCGTATTTTCTGTAAAGCATGGTCGGGGGGGGGGGGGGGGCGATTCCCGTTCCCCTGGGGTGAAATGAATGCACAGTTCGGATGGGCGATGGGGCGGAATCGCAATCCCGGGGCGAGTCTGTTTTCTTGTTAGAAAGGGGAAATTTGCGGTGCAATTTGCGCGCGGCAACCTATGTAAAGCAATCTGCTCGGTGCAATCTACGCGGCGCAGTTGACTACCCTGCGCCGCGCTTGACCACGTTCACTGCTCGGAAGCCCCCCGCCCACCCACCCGCAACCTGTTTTGCAAAACCCACGCGGCGGGGATTGCGATGCGCGCTCGGCCATATTGGCCGGTGCATCTGCGGCCGCGCAAGCCCGCGCACGCGCGCGCTCGCAGCAGCCAGCTTGCTTGGCGCCACCGGCGCGGCCGCGGTGGCGTTGTCCGCTGGGCGCGCCCCAGCGGGGGCGTCGGCGCGAGTCGGCGACTTGGGCGGGCGCGGAATCATGGCAACGCCGACAACGGTAGGCACGGTGATGATAGCAGCGGTGCTGGCGGCGGTGGCCGCGCCAACCCAGGCGCGCGCGCGCTGCGGCCAGCTAGTTCGGCGCGACTGACGCGGCCGCGATGGCGCTGATCGCTGGGCGCGCCCCAGCGGGCACTTCAGTGCGAGTGGGCGACTTGGGCGGGCGCGGTATCATGGCAACGTCGATGAGGGTAGACGCGACGGCGACAGTTGGCGATGTTGGCGACGACGTTGACAATAACGACGGCGCGTCCAGCGCGGGCGCAGATGCTGATCGCGCCGACGACGACGACGGCGTCATCGCGTCGGCGATGAAGGTTTTGGAAAAGGGTTCGACGCGCGCGCGGCCGACGCGCGAGAGTGCCCCGCGCGGTATTATCTTGCGCGGATCGCGCCCCCCCCCCCCCCAGCGCGCGCGCGAGGGCGCTAGAGTGATGTCGGCGTGCGGCTTGAGAGGCCCGCTTGGCACGTGCCCATGCGATTTTCTTGAGAATTCGCAAGAGCGCGAGCGCGCGCTTTTAGATGACTGTTGCGAAACCAGGTGCGTTTGTTTATTTTGGGGGCATTCGGTTTTGAAGTCGCTGCGACACCGAAGGTTGTCGACGGATTTTGGCACGCGCGCCCGACGACGCGCGCGCACTCCGCCATGTCTTTTGCTAGGGGTTCTCGCGACGGCACGCGCGCAGGGGCGTTCGAGCGATTTCGACCTGCGCGCGCGAAGCCCGTTTGGTAGCATGTCATGAGTAAGAAGTCGCGAGAGCGCGCGCGCAGGTTTGTTGTTTTAGAAGACCGGGTGTTTTTGTGGACACTCGATGTGGCACCCTTACGAAACCGATTATGTTTGAAGGATTTCGGCATGCGCGCGCGACGACGCGCGCGTGTGGTCTTCGTCCCGTTCGTCGCAACGGATTCTAGGAAACTTTCGATTTTTGATAAACGAGTACGCGCGCATCCTATTCTTTTGCGGAGGATGGCGGAGGGGCGGATGCCGGCTCGGCGGGGATGGCATGAGTTGATTTTAAGGATGGGCGATGGGGCAGAGTCACATGTAAATTGCAACACGAAAAGCGGGGTGGATAGTCCCGGAGGGGGGGTCTATTCTTTTTCAAGAACAGAGAACCAGTGCGGCGCAAGTGACTTTAAGAAACGAGCTGGCACATCCCAAGCTCTTAAAACACATGCACGGCGTTGGCTGATGTATCTCTGCGGCCGCGCCGATCCAGGCACGCGCGCGCAGCGTCCAGCTCGTTTGGCGCCGCCGACGTGGCCGCGGTGGCGCTGACCGCTTGGCGCATCCCAGCGCGCACTTCATTGCGAGTCGGCGCGACTTGGGCCGGCGCGGTATGATGGCAACGCCGAGTACGGTAGGTGCAACGACGATAGTGGCGATGCTGGTGGCGATTTTCGGGCCGACGACGGCGCGGCCAGCGCTGGCGCCGATGCTGATCGCGACGGCAACGATGGCGGCGTCCTCGCGTCGGCCATGAAGGTTTTTGGTGAAAAAAACAGCAGTTCGACGTGCGCGCGCGGCCGACGCGCGACAGTGGCCCGCGCGGCATTTTTTGACGCGGATCGTGCCCCCCCCCCCCCCCTTCCCAGCACGCGCGCAAGGGCGGGCGAACGATGTCTGTTTGCGTGCGGCGCCAAAGGCCCGCTTGGCAGAATGTCGTGGGCACTTTTTAAAATAAGCAACAAATATTGATAACACAAGGGTCCCCAAAGAATTCGCAAGAAAGCGCGCGCGCAAGTTTTTGTTTTGACAACTGATATTGCGCATCCGGATGTTTTGGAATGTTTAAATTCTGAAATCGCCACGACACTGAAGTTTTTTCAAGGATTTTGGCATGCGCGCGACGCGCGCGCACGTCGCCCGGTTTTCTTGCGAAGGATTCTCGCGACGGCACGCGCGCAAGGGCGTTCGAACGATTTCGAAATGCGCGCGCGTGAAGCCCGCTTGGCCGTATGTTATGAAAATGTTGTAAATGGTTTTTGAGGTTTGATTCAGCGACTTCTGACTCGTCCATCAGGAATTACGTTCCGTTCCCATATGGTGATTCTTGTGGGATGACGTCCATCCTCATATAAAACCACACATATATATGCATATATATATACACATATGCAAATATGAATGCATACAAATATATCTATATATATGTACATATATGTACATATACGCATTGTGTTTGTCGCGAGCACGTTCAAGCCCCCGATCCCGTGGGACAGCGGTTATCCAGACTCACATCAGTCATTGTTTTGGCTGCAAACGTGGCGAATGAAAAGTATGAACAGATCGTGCGAACATGTATTGCGATTTGGCACAGCCTGTGCGCGTCACTCACACGGGGCATTTCCAAATCTGATGGTCGTGGTTTTGTGCATGTGTTTCTTCCCTCCCTCCCTCCCATCCCCCCTTCCTCCCCCCTCCCTCCTCCCCTCATTCTCTCGCCATCGGCGCAGCCACCTCTGCTTCAGGTCCTGGCCGCGCACACCTCGCACGTGCAGTCCATCCACTTCTCGCCATCGCCCAGCAATCCAGGACAGCGCGCATGAGGAGGGATGGGGACCAGGGGGGGGCGGAGGGAGGCGTGGGGAGTGCGGGAGCGTGGCTGTCCTGTCCTTGGGGTGTGCCCCCCACAGGCCGTGTGCGGGCCCCCTCTTCTCCTCCCCCTCTTGCCTTAGTTCGGAGCCGTGCCTCACTGCCACCGCGAGGATGCCGCGCAATCCGCTGCCGAGCGCAGAGGAGGGGGACGATAACAAGGGGGAGGGAGACGATAAAAAAGAGGAAAGGGACGATAGAAAAGGAGGGGACGATGAACATGGGAAGGGAGACTGTTCATGACTGTTCGGTTGCTGTCGGGCGCTGGTACAAAGTCTGCCCATTCCAGATCCTGTTCGCCATCATTCGCGCACCTGGCCAAGTGCCCCTGGCACGCGCGACCTCCGACGCGGCGATCCGTCCTGTCTTCTCCCGCCCGAGGTTTCCCCGCCTCCTGTCTCCTTTCCCTTCCCCCCTCCTCCCTCCCCGCTCCCCTTCTTCCGCCCCCTTCCATCTTCTCATTCCCTCCTCGGTTTTGGCAGCCTTTCGACACATGTCGAAGCTCAACCAGAGGCTCCTCCCGTAATGTTCGAACAGGTGCCCTTGTGGTCTCCCGTACTCGCATCCTCCGTCGCTTCTGTTGCATTGGTCATTTTGCTTCTGTTGCGGTGCGGTCGCAGTGTGGTTTGTGCAGTTGTCTTGCGCCAGAGTAGGGTGAGGAGGATACGAGGATAATGAAACGGAAGAGGCCGAGGAGGCCGAGGAGGAGGAGGAGGAGGAGGAGGAGGAGGAGGAGGAGGAAGGGGGATACGGGGAGGAGGACAGTGTCAAAGTATTGGCTTTTCCATGGAACACGGATGACGAGGATGTGGAGGAGGAGGAGGAGGACGACGACGAAGACGCTAATACGATGGAGGATGATAATCGAAGGAGAAGGAGAAGGAGGACGAGGACGAGGACAAGGAGGAGGAAGTTGGGAAGGTGTTGAAAGCTGTGGTGGGAGGAGGAGATGGAGGAGATGGAAGGGCGTCTTGCGTTCTTGAAGTCGAGAGGAGAGAGAGGGAGAGCAGGAGGAGGGAGAAACCTCTCTTTGGTCCTCAGGGGCCCCTTCGTCAGCACTGTCAGGCGCGGCCAAAACAAACGGTGGTGCATGGGCCAGGCTGGAGTTAGGTCGAACGCATCGGGGTTGACAGGAGCTGCACGGATGACATGATCGTCCTCCCCCTTGTTGCCACCTTTTTGTCGGCGGCAATTGCGGGGGGGAAATGAGAAAGAGAAGGCCTTCTCAGAAGGCGGCGTGACTTCTCAGAAGCCATCGCGCCTTCTGAGAAGTGTACTGTGTTTGGGGAGAAGGCTTAGAAAACTTCTCATAAGGCCGGGGGACTTCCGAGCTTTCTGAGAAGGCCTTCCCCTTCTCATTTCCCCCCCCCGTGCTCGCTGCCGATTTGGTTATAGAGTTCTGCCTCGTTGCAACACCAGACGTGTCGGTAGGGCGGGTGAAGCGTTTCGCCTCCTGAGAATTCCCCACCGTTTGTGACGTTGAAATTTGACAGGCCCAGTAGTCCCGAGGGTGGAGGGAGGGCGGCCTTGAACGTGTTATGTGTTGCCGTATCGCCGCGCAGATTCTTATGTTCCAGCAGTTGTAAGGATGGAGGGTGAATACCTTTCAAAGTGTGGCTCTCTAGCTCCGCGCACCTTATTCTTAAACGCTCCCAGTAACTTATAAGGATAGACGTCGAATTGCTTTTTAAACTATGACTCTCGCCTCAGTTCAGTGCACATTCGTCGTGCACGTTCCCCAGCTGGTAGGATTGAGGGGGGTTATGTTTCGTAGGTTGACTCTCGCCTTACTGCCGCAGGTGCATGTATGGCGTTCGCTATGAAGAGAAGATCTTGGACGGCAGGTTGTACTGCAGCATCATTGATACTGATCCTGATCCCGCATCTCCAATGGAGGGCGAGCTCTGCCGCCGTACCTGCGCTGCGCCCCTGCATCCGGCTCCGTCGCAGGCCACCCGGGAGGAGTTGGCGGAGGCGGGCTGGCGCCCGGCCGCCGTGAGAGAGCGCAGTTCTGGCGAGGGTGCCTCGGGGCGCGCCCTCGGATCAGTGTGGATGCTCGTGTCGGCGGCGAGCTGCACTACAACCTGCCGTCCAAGATCTTCTTTTCACAACGAACGCCATACATGCACCTGCGGAAGTAAGGCGAGAGCCAACCTACGAACCAGAACCCCCCTCAATCCTACCAGCTGGGGAACGTGCACGACGAATGTGCACTGAACTGAGGCGAGAGTCATAGTTTAAAAAGCAATTCGGCTTCTATCCTCATAATTTACTGGGAGCGTTTAAGAATAAGGTGCGCGGAGCTAGAAAGAGAGCCACACTTTGAAAGGCATTCACCCTCCATCCTTACAACTGCTTGAACATAAGAGTCTGCGCGGCGATACGGCAACACATAACACGTTCAAGGCCGCCCTCCCTCCACCCTCGGGATTGCTGGGCCTGTCAAGTTTCAACGTCATAAACACGTTTGGAAGTTCTCGGGCGAAACGCTTTACCCGCCCTACCGACACGTTTGGTGCTGCAACGAGGCAGAGCTCTATACCAGAATCGGCAGCGAGCACGGGGGGGAAGCGAGAAGGGGTGGGCCTTCTCAGAGGGCTCGGAAGTCCCTCGGGGGCTTCTGAGAAGTTTCCTGGGCCTTCCCCGAAGACAGAAAGAAAGACTTCTCAGGAGGCGCGAGGGCTTCCGAGGAGTCCCGCCGCCTTCTGAGAAGGCCTCCTGCTCATTTCGCCCCCTCGTTCGCCGCCGAATTCTTGCATGCAGTTACCACGCAGCAGATATAGCAGCTTGTGGTACTGCGGTGCGTGCGTCCTGGATGCTGGCTTCCCCGTCGCAAAAATATCTCCCGGCAGCTGGAGCAGCCCCACTGAGCGCAGACTTTCGGAGTCACAGTCACGGCAAATGGTGCACCTTGGCGGGCGAGGGATAACAGAGAGGCAGGGCAAGTGGAGTCGTGGCGGGAAGGGACGACGAGACGTGTGCGGGCTGTCGCAGCTCGAGCACAGCACAGCGCGTTTGGCGACTCTCTGCGCCGTGGCGAGCACGCCCGCTGGAGACCACGGTCGCCTGCCGACGCCAGAGAGCAAGGCCGCGACCCCTCCCACGCCGGCGCGGAGCACACACACACACCCACACACCCACACACACACACACACACACGCACGCACACACACACACACACACACACACACACACACACACACACACACACACACACACACACACACACACCCGGGCGCCGCGGAGGCCACGGCGCTCTCGGCCCTCTGGCTGGCCCCTCCCACCAGCTCGGCGAGGCGGTCCGCGCCGTGAGCTCGGCGCAGGGCCCTGGTGCGGCACCGCGGCGACGAGCTCGGGGGACGCAGGCTTGCCCCCACCAGACAGGAGGCCACTCGCCGCCCCGCCCCCTGCGCCCCCGCGCCCGCCGGCGGCAGCTCGTGCCCACGGAGCTGCACGGCTCGAGCGCGCCACGGGACAGCCCGCGCCCATCGTGGGGCGGGGGGGAAAGAGGAGGGAGGGGAGGAGGAGGGAGGAGGGAGGAGGGAGGAGGGGGGAGGGGGGAGGGAGGAGAGGGGGAGGGAGGGAGGGAGGGAGGGAGGAGGAGGAGGGAGGAGGGGAGGAGGGAGGGGGAGGGAGGAGGGAGGAGGGGGAGGAGGAGGGAGGGAGGAGGAGGAGAGGAGGGAGGAGGGTGGAGGGGTAGGAGAGGGGGAGGGCGAGGGGAGGGGAGGGAGGAGAGAGGAGGAGGAGGAGGGAGGAGGAGGAGGGGGAGGAGGAGGAGGAGGAAGGAGGTGGAGGAGGAGCGGCGGCACTCCGAAGGGGGGGAAGGGCAGCGGGGGCGGGCCTCCTCGGAAGGCTCGGGAGGCCTGCGGCCTTCCAGGGCGTCGTGCGAGGCTTCTCCGGAGCCGCAAGGGGCTTCTCCGAGGGCCGGAGGGCTTCTGAGGAGCCCCGCCGCCTTCTGAGAGGGCTCCCTCTCACGTCCCCCCCAGGCGCGCCGCCGAGAGGAGGGACCTCCTGAGAAGGCCCGCCCCCTCTCACGTCCCCCCCAGGCGCGCCGCCGCGAGGAGGGAGGAGGAGGGAGCGCATCTCCGAAGGTCCCCCCCCCCCCCCGCCCCCGAGGGCAGCTCGTCAGCGCCAGCTGGGACAGCACGCTGCGCGTGTGGGACCTGTACGGCAAGGCGAGGGCGGAGCCGCTGGACAGCCCCCCCCCGGCTCGCCCGGCCGCTGCTCCCGCCGAGAGCTCTCTCTCCTTCTGGGTGCTGCAAGGAGTGCCCCTGGCCCAGGGCGCCCCAAGGATTTCCAAGGAGGCCCCCGCGGCCTCCAGAGCACCCCTCACGAGGCCCAGGGGGCCCCAGGGGCCCCAGAGTGGAGCGACAAGCTGGGGGTTCCCTGGGCCAGGGGCTTTTTTCGTAGAGTAAGTAGGAGAGGCCACACGCGGACCCCATCTCACCACCCCACGATTTCGAGGGGGGGGGGAGGTGGGGTTCGATTCGCTTCGAAGGTCCCGAACGAAGTGAACCCCACCTCCCCCCTTTGAAGTCGTGGGGTGGCGGGGTAGGGTTCGCCTGTGGCCTCCTAGCACTCCCCGATCCCTCTGCTCCCGCTGGCTGCCTCCGCCGCCTCCGGCTGATGGCTGGGCCGGACTCCGCCGCAGCTCCTGCGGGCCGCCACGGCTCCTGCTGGCCGCCACGGATGCTGCCATGTCTCTCTCTCTCTCGCTCTCCCTCCCTCCTCCTCCTCCTCCTCCTCCTCCTCCTCTCCTCCTCCTCCTCCTCCTCCTCCCTCCTCCCCTTCCTCCTCCTCCTCCTCTCCCTTCCTCTCTCCTCCTCCTTCCTCCTCCTCCCTCCTCCTCCTCCTCCTCCTCCTCCTCCTCCTCCTCCTCCTGCCGTCCTTCCTGCCTGCCTTCCTCCCTTCCTCCCTCCCTCCCTCCCTCCCTCTCTCCACCGGGCGGGGCTGGAACAGGGACCAGTCGCTCCAGGGCGCTGCAGGAGCGCTCTCGGAACGTTCTGGAGCGCTCTGGAACGGCTGCGGCGCCCGATTCATCCACAATGGTCCACCAGATCTCAGAGATCCCCGATTTGTCCCAGTCCGACGTTGGTCCTGTCTTGGCCTCGTCTTACAGTCGGCCTGGATTAGTAGGTCGACCCTGCCAGTTCTCAAGGGTGCCCTTGTGTCCTGTGCCTCGCGACACGTGCCTTCTTACACTCCTATGGTGATGTGGCCCTCGGAAGGGTCTTGCGTCCTCTCGCGTGTCCTGTCCAATCAAGGCCGACTGTACTCTGCCGCCTCCTTCGGGCGGCGTCTAGTTGGGCGCAGGTATGTAACCACTGTCCTTCTCCCAAAATTATCATCGAAGGCGCGTTACGCAGGTTATGCCTGCATTTGACGCTCTGGGTAAGGTAAGGCTGACACTGCGTGCGAAGTGCTTGCTGGCGCCCACGCTCCCGTGCCGGTCCTCGTGGGGAGCCTCTGGGGTTGCGCCAGCCCAGATCGCGTGTCGGCATGCTTCGACCTTGAGGGGGGGCGACGTTGAGGAGGCGCAAGGGCGCGAACCTTGAAGGGTCAGGAGGGGAGAAGACACAGAGGCACAATGAATCGACGATCCCCAGGAAGATATGGGAACATATGGGAAGTGGGGGGGAGGACCAAAACCCTGAAAGTATTGAAACATATAGGGAATTCTGGGATTTGTGTCTATTTATGTGTGTGTCCCAGGGCCCCTAGGCCTCCCAGATGGGGTTCGAGCAGATGTGGTCGGAGGATCACGCCGCATCGCCGATGCATCGGCGATGCGGCTCGATGTGGAACCCGATTTTCTCCAAGCCGTTGCATCGCCGACGCCGCCGATGCTTCGGCGATGCGGCGCGATCCTCCAATCACATCTACTCGAACCTCATATGGGAGGCCCCTAGACCACTTGCTATTCCTGCCCTGGCGGGGTAAAGCAACGTTGCAGTATCGGACACTCTGGTTGGGGTTCACTCGGCTGCAGACGTCCTTCGAATTTCGGCCCCCGCGGGTGTTTCAGCAGTCTGGCCTGCAGTGGTAGGATTCACAGGTAAGTGCCCGAGCGGGAATCGATCGAGACGAGGGTGGGATTGGCCCGGGTTCGTCGTCGTTGCTTTCGTCGGCATGTGCATATTTTCGGCGACTCTGGCTCCCGACCCTCATGTGGCGTTCGATCCATGATTTCAGCCATCGGCACCGCGCGCATGCACCGTGCCGCTGACCTCCCTGCTGCAAAGGGCGCGTTTGCACAGCGCCCCCCCCCGCCCAGTTCGTCTCACCGCGCGTGCCCCGCGGGGGGTCGTGCCCTGGGATCTCGCGGAGCGGCGGATGCGGACATCCGCCCGCCCGCGCTGGCGGGCAGATATCCATACACCTTAGGCGATGGTTAAGAAAATCCAAGTTTTCGGCGAGAGTCTCGATTATTCTTAATGTTTCCATGTAAATCCTAAGATTTCGATGGAAATTCTGGGCTTCTACTCAAGTTCTGAGACTATGAATTTCTTAACCCATGATTTCTTAAGCATTTCGCAGGGTGTATCCGCCGCTCCCCGAGTCCTCGGAGCACGACCCAGCAGCAGTGGACATGGCCATATTCTGGCGGCGCCTTTCTGGAGACCCCTCGCGCGGGTCGTGCCGCACAGGGAGCTCCACTTAGGAGGCCCAAAGTGTGGTCTTCGCATGGCTTTACCCCGCCTGGCAGAGTACAGTGCCGTGTTTAATACATGCTCCGCGTGCGGACCATGTAATAAAAATGCAGGACATTAGTCATGCATTAAAATCTCATATTTGTTAAGTCCGATGTATTCAAAACTGCCCTGTAGAGATAGCGGAGGGCAGCGAATGGCACAGTTGGAGCAGGGGGCAGAGAGCCGATGGTTTGCAGTGAAGGCGTACATGTCGAGAGGAGAGAGGAAGGGGGTCGACTGCAGAGAGTGGAGGGTGGAGCGGAGTTACTCTCGTCATCCTCTGCTCATACCCACCTCCCTCGTGCTCTCGGTGCACCCCTCGTGGGAGAGCATGCTTGTGGCTTTGTCTAGCTGCAGTTTTTGTTAGCTGTCGTCACCCGCACTTGGCCATTCGAAGCGTACAGGTATCGCTTGCTCCGCCGTCTTCCCAGCAGGGTGGCACACCGCAAAGTATGCCCGCAATTGTCATGCCTTCAGGATTGCCCCTCCAGCGTCCTCTGTGTGGTCTTTGACCCGCGGGCCAACGACGTCTGTGCCGCGGCATGCCTCACGGGCCAGGTCTTGTTCTGGAATGTGAGCAATGGGACGAACATTGGGTCTATCGAGGATAGCAGATGATTTGCAATGTTTCTGGAGGAGGGTGCCCGTGTGGATCCAATCGGTAGATGATTCAGTCAGATATGGAGATGGACGGGTTTGATTAACGCACGCACGGGATCTGTGCACGCGCGTGCACACGTGCTTTGTGTATTTCAGTGCGCGTCGCGCCCGTAAAATAATGCGCAATACCACGAAGACCAGGAGGTGAGGCCGACGGATGGCACGAGGGATGCAGGACGAGTTGTCATCTTCATCCTACCTTGCCTCGTTGTTATCCGCCTCCATGTCCTCATCCTCATCCCCCTCCTCATCAGAGCCGCCTGCGCACTGCGTTTTGTTGCTGCGCATCTATTGCGCCATTGTTGATGCTTCTTTTTTCGCCACAGGGATTTCCAATGTATATGAACCAGCCAACCCGTGACGGACCTCATGTTTACTTCCTCGATGGGAAGTGTGCTCCAGCCATGCCCGTGTGATGATTTGCCGTGTATATGGTGAGCGACACACCAGGTTTTGATTGGGTTGCACATATATATATATATACGTAGTATGACCGAAGTTTGATTCGAAGCGCATATGCAAGTCATCCCACACATTCAAACGCGACATGGTGGCCACATACACAAGATTCGGGCCACAAATACAGGAGCAACCAGCACGCGTGGCCACAAGCAACCAGAGGTCAGCAGAAGCCGACGGGGATTCTTTCCTCCACGGCTTCCAAGAATGCGCTCGTCTTCCCGGCAGGCAGGTGTGTGGTGCCCAATCTCGAAGAACAAAAAACCACATAAACACAACTTTCGGCGCTCCGCGCGGATCTCTTGGATCCGCGCTGGGACCTCCCAGCAGCGCCTCCAGCGCCGCCCCTGGCGCGCCCCGCGCGCCAGGGAGGGAGGTCCGGTGCAGATCGCAGAAACCCGCGCGGAGCGCCAACTGTTTATGCTTATTGCGTTTTCCTTCTTCGAAGTAGACCGCAGGGAAGGGGGAAGCTTGAGAGAGGAGGTGAGGAGGAGGAGGAGGAGGAGGAGGAGGTGGAGGAGGAGGAGGAGGAGGAGGAGGAGGAGGAGGAGGAGGAGGAGGGGGAGGGGGAGGGGAGGGGGAGGGGGAGAAGGAGGAGGAGGAGGAGGACGAGGACGAGGACGAGGACGAGGACGAGGACCGAAGAGGCGGACTTGGTCTTTTTGTGTTTGTGCTTGTGCCTCCTGGTCTTCCCCCTGGCGCCCGTGCCGGCTCCTGCCTCGTGGCACCGGGCGCTCCTGCGCGGGCAGCCCGGTGCCTGCCTTCAGGCGGGCCCGTCCCTCCACGGGGGGAAGGTACAAACAATAGTGCAGAGATAGTCTGGGGACAATTTTTTGCTGCGTATTTTTGGGCATCTTTTTTTCGAATAGTTGTTTGTTGAGCATGTCTTATCTTTCCTCCAAGTTTGGGCATCTTCTGAACAGCTTTGGGGTATGTCTTATTTTTGGGCATCTTCTGACTTGTTTTTGAGTACGTTTTATTGTCTCCCAAATCCCCCCGTGGGGGGACGGGCCCGACCTGGTGCCTGCCCCGCCGCGCGAGGGCCCGCCCGGCCGTGTCCCCTCGGGAGGGGAGAGAACAGACCACGCAGGCACAGTGGAGCGTCGACTCCCCCAGCAGCTGGGCAAATACTCCAAATCCCTTATTAATCGACCCCCCCCTAAAAAACCAGACCCCCCTCCAAATGCGACCTAATATTCCGGACCCCCTCTTCGATGGGGCGCCTTAATAAACCAGACCCCCTCAGCTCCAATCCAAAGAAAGCGACCTAATAAACCGGACCCCCTTAATGACCAAAAAGGCGCCTTAAAAAACCGGACCCGGGGGACGATTAATAAGGGATTTGGAGTATGGGAATTGGGGGGGGAAGACAAAAGCCCAGAGCATATGGGAAAATGTGGGGAATCCTGTTATTTGTGTGTACTTCTTTGTGTGTCCCAGGGCCCCTTCAACAATGGATCGTCGCTTCCCCAGAACACCTGGGAAAACGTGGGAAGTGTGGGGGGGGGGAACAGAAGAGCCCAGAAAGTAGGGGGAGATAGGGGGGAATCCTGTGATCTGTGTTCATTTGCCTGTGTGTACCAGGGCCCCTCCATTCCCGTTCTTTCCGGCGTTCGACGCAGCTGCAGCCGGGTAGGCTCGTTTTCGACCCGTTTCGGGGACATGGCATCGCCCGTGCGCTCAACAAGGGTGTATGCTGCTTGGTTCTTGGACTGGGTTTGGGACGCGGGTTCTGCGGAGCCGTTGTACGCGCTCACAAGCGTGTGGAATGGCGAATCTGGCCAATGTCTAGCCTTCGGCGGTTGCGATTCGATTGTTCGCTTGTGTGGCGGGCGAAACCGTTTTCCCATACCACCACCTGCCTGGATTTCTGGGCGTTGTCGTGAATATAGTCACGATCATCAGCAACATGAATGAACGCTCCTTTCATAGAACCTAGTGATGCGAGCGTGTGGAAACTAGCACTCCCGGCGTGCAAGACATGCAGTGCAAGCCACAGGGCAAACCATAGGGCACCAACCATAGGGCACCAACCATTGGACACCAACCATTGTACAAACCAGAGTGCACAACCCCTGACTACCAGTCATATGGCACCATGGGGCACCGAACACGTGGCCCGCATCAAGGCATAGGGTACTAACCAGAGGGAACGGGCGCGCGAACGACCGATCGCGACACCATGGGCCAGTTCCTTACAACACGTGCAAGCCATCCTCAGGACAGTGCAGTACGGGGCGGATTGTTTTCATAGTACGACTGGTACTACGCTTGGTACGGTGCGTGCTTCTTCGTTGTGGTTAAACGTATGCGCGATGGCACGATGCTGACCGCCCAGAGGATATCCCATGCGCCTAGATGAGAGCTTCAGGCCTCTCCCTCCTCCCTCCCTCCGTCTTCCCTCCTACCCCCTCTCCCTTTTGCCTCCGACCTCCAAGCTCGAATTCGATTGCCCCAACACCCCCGACAACCCCAACCTCCAACCGCCGCATTCTCCCTCCCCCACCCCCAATCATGCAGGACGGTAGACGATGGAAGAGGGAGGCGGAGGAGCAGGCCGGAGGGCGGAGGAGCGATTCACCCCTCCGTGCCCCGTCTCTTCGTCTTCTGCCATCGTCGTCGTCGTCCTTCTCCACCTCGTGCTGCCAGGGCCTGCGCGACATCCAGAGCGGGCGCCAGTGGGGCCAGCAGTACGCGTCCTCGCACACAAGGGGGGCGAAGCTCGGCAAGGGCCTGAAGGCTGGCCGAGGGAACAGGAGAGTAGAGGGAAGGAAGAGACGACGGCGATGCGAGGCAGGGTAACAGGGAAGGGAGAGGAAGGAGGAGCGGGGAAGGGAAGGCGGCGGGGGTGGAAGGGAATGGAGGGAGGGAGTGAGTGAGCGAGGGAGGGAGGGATGGGAGAAGCGGGACGGAGGTGAGGGAACTGAGAAAGGGTGGGAAGAGGGTGAGGGAGGCCAAGGGAGGGAGCGAGGGGGCATAGTGATGCGGAAGAAGCAGACCAGAAGACAGTTCAGAATATTCTTGATGCTCTTCGGACCATCCCGCCACCGTACTTGGGTTGTGGGCCAACGGCCTTTAGATTGTTCGTTGGGGTTTCGTGGTAGGTCTCAGGGGCCTCTGAGGGGAGACTTGTGGCCCGGCAGCGCGCTGGCCAGAGGGTTCCGTCTTCCTTGAGGGGTGGCATCGTGTGGTGTGCGGTGCCAGCGCTGGAAATGGCGACATTACCGAAGATGTTTGCACGTGCACTTCATGCGGATATCAGACGCGTTGGCCTTGCGACGATCGCGTCGAGCAACGTCAGACCTGATTCCACATCTCCCGAACGGCTTCGTCTCGTCAGAGCCTGGACAAATACCTCTTGGAGCCTTCCCAGGGCGCTATTGGACGCCCTTGGGGTCATCGTGGAGCCTTCCCAGGCCCCCTCGGGGCTCTCTTGTGCGATTTCAGAGCTATATTGAGACCTCGAGAGGTCGAACAGCCAAAGCATATTGGACGATTTCTGGTATGTGAAGGATCTGGGACCTCTTGGGGGGTATCCGCTGGAGGCTCCCGCCGTGCAGAGCTGGTGCTGGGGCCTCTGGATGGCCTGCTGGTCAGAACGAACGACATGGGTACGGAAAGAAGGGGCACAAAGATCAGTTCTTGTGATGGGCTTGTTTTCCACCGCCACCACCATAAGTTGGAGGGGGAAGGAGGTGGAGGACGAGGAGGAGCACGATGAGGAGGAGGAGGAGGAGGAGGAGGAGGAGGAGGAGGACCCCATCCCCTCGAACTTGTGGTGGTGGTGGTGGAAAACAAGCCCATCATCTTGTTCATTTTGAACCGGATTCGCTGTCGGCGTCTCCGCGGATTGCGTCCATTTGAGACAGAAGGCCGCCTGCCAGACGGCGGCCGCTGTTGCTTCGGGAGACAGAATTTGCTGCTGGGCACTGTGCCCAGCGTTCCGTGCCCATTTCGGGCGTCCAAAGCTGGAGGCGAAAGTTCGGGCGGTCTCTAGCCTTTCCCGGGCGGAGGACGGAGGGCGAAGGACAGGAGGAGGAGGGGGAGGAGGAGGAGGAGGGGGAGGGAGACCAGATTGATAATGGCGGCGGGGAGGAGCAGCAATGGCATGAGCAGCGCGAGAGCCAGGAGGTCTAGGAGGGCGATGATGAGGCTGATGCTGATGCTCATGCTGGTGAATACTGGGGAGGAGGGGGATGATGATGATGATGATGATGATGATGATGATGATGATGATGATGATGATGATGATGATGATGATGATGATGATTCATGATGATGATGATGATGATGATGATGATGATGATGATGATGAGGAGGAGGAGGAGGAGGAGGAGGAGGAGGAGGAGGAGGGTGCTGATGGTGATAATGGTGATGCTGTTGATGACGATGGCGATGGTGATGGTGAACATGATGTTGGTGATGATGATGGTGATGATGTTGATGATGATGCCGCTGTTTGATGACGACGCGGATAGGTGATGTCGACGACGAAGATGATGATGTTGTTGTTGGTGATTCTGTTGATGGCGATGCTGATGATGGTGATGATGCGGCTGATGGATATGGTGATGCTGATGTTGGCGGTGCTGGTGGTGGTGATGTTGTTGGTGACGATAGTGATGATGGTGATGATGATGCTGATGGTGATGATCACGTTGCTGATTATGTCGGTGTTGATGTTTATGATGGTGACGGTGACGATGCTGCTGATGATGATGATGTTGACGATGAAGTTTACTATGATGCGGATGATGATGATGATGCTGACAATGCTGATGATGATGGTTGCGGTGGTGGAGATGTTGCTACCGACACTGAGTGTTGATGCTGATGCTAATGCTGATGATGATGATGATGATGATGATGATGATGATGATGACGTTGGCGATGCTTGTGAAGGTTATGGTGAGGATGACGACGGTGCTGATAGTGATTATGAGGATGTTGCTGATGATGATGATGATGACGATGATGATGATGATGATGATGATGATGATGATGATGATGATGATGATGATGATGATGATGATGATGATGATGATGGTGATGATGATGATGATGATGATGATGATGATGATGCTCACGCTGATGACGATGATGGTGATGATGCTGATGCTGATGATGATGATGCTGATTATGATGACGACGACGACGATTGTGATGATGATATGGTGGTGGTGGTGGTGGTGGTGGTGGTGGTGGTGGTGGTGGTGGTGGTCATGATGATACTGATGCTGGTGATCAGGATAAGGACCAGGATGAGAAGCCACAGCATGTGAGGTTGGGGGAGTGGACTGGGGAGGGGAAGGAGTGCTGGACTCAACGCCAGGCTGGGAACTCCAGCGAGGGTGTCAACCTGAACCAGCACTTTAGGAGGGCGCCGTTTCTCCCGCGCTCTGCAATTTGCGTCGAGAGGCTCCGTTGCACCCCCTCCCTGCACCTACTCCGTCCCTCTCTTGGGGCAAGCGGGGGATCTCGAAGGGGAGGGGCAAGGCCGACGACAAATCTGACCTCAATCACCTCCTTCCCACTCCTTGGAGCAGGAGGGGGTATATTCGAAGCGAGGGGTGAGGATCGATGAGGGTAATCGGATGACACAGGAATGGCGATGGAGGGTGGAGGAGAGAGAAGGGCGGGAGGAGGAGGGAGGGAGGGAGGGAGGGGAGGGAGGGAGGGAGGAGAGGGAGGGAGGGAGGGGAGGAGGGAGGGAGGGAGGAGGAGGAGGAGGAGGAGGAGGAGGAGGAGGAGGAGGAGGAGGGAAAGGAGGAGAGGCGTTCTGGGCTCTCCCAGGGGGGGGGGGTCTTGTGCGTACATACTTCAGAGCGCCGTGTGCGCACGAGCACTGGCAACGATCACCAGAATTCTCGCCATTCCTTTGCCTCCGCAACCCTCTTGGCTCACGCAATGGGCACCAGGCCGCGTGGCCACGGCGGGGCGGCGGCGCAGGGCGGCGGCGGCACCGTGCTCCCGGGGCCCAAGACCCCAGCCTGGGGCTGCCGCTGTGGCGAGGCGGCCAATTGGGCATCGCGGCTCCACTGCAGGAGCTGTGGGGGCCCCGCGCCAGTCTCCGTTCGGCAGCGGGCAGTGGAGGCGGCGGCAGGCCCGTCCCCATCCGCGGCGCGGCCGCCCAGGGCAGTGGCGCCCAAGGCCAAGGCGGGCGCCAAGGCCAGCGCCGAGACGGAGCCCAAGCAGTCGGCGGCGGCCGCGGAGGCGCCCTGGGTGCACGGCGGCGGCAAGCCTCGGCGGGTGCGGTTCCGCGAGGCGGAGGTCGTCGAGATCAGGGAGGACGACGAGGCCGACAAGCTGGCAGCAGCGCTGCGGCTGCTGGAGGAGCGCGGAGTCCAGCTTGATGAGGAGGCGCAGAAGAAGCTGGGAGTCGGCAGGCAGGCCGACCCAAGCAAGGCAGGCCCAGAGGCGCCCAAGTCGCACCACGCCACGGTGCAGAGCGCCATGTGGAAGGTCAAAAACACGGCGGGCAAGCTCGAGAGGTCTCAGCAGAACTTGGAGGCCGCACAGGAGGCGTTGGCGGACGCCCAGCTGGCGGTGGACAAGGCCACGGAGGCCAAGGAGGCCGCAGCCAAGGCCCACGCCCAGGCGCAGGACCAGCTCGAGCGCGCCAGGAGGGTGGAGCAGGCGGGCCTCCCGCCCGAAGCACAGCTCGACCAGCGCGCACAGGACGTCGACAGGCTGGCCCAAGCCACCCTCGGGGCGAGGTACGCCGCCGAGCTCAAGGACCATTTCGAGGGCGAGGAGGCCGTCCAGGTTACCCAGGCCATCGAGCTCTTCTCAAAGCTTGCCGCCGCGAGCAAGGCCCGCATTGAGGCGGCCAAGCGGGCGGCGGAGGCCCCACCCTCTGGGGCGCCTGCTGCTGCTGCTGCTCCTGCTGGGCGCCCTCCTGACCGTGAGGGCGGGCCACCAGCAGCCGCGGGAGGGGGCGCAATGCAGGAGGAGGGCGACGACTTCGACGCCAGAGTGGAGGCCCTCGATGGGGCCAAACGGGCCGAGGTCGAGCGTTTCCTCGAGTCGCACGGCTGCTCCTTGCCCAAGCGCCTGCGCCGCCCAGCGGGCTCCGCTGCAGGCAAAGGCGCGGCCGAGGCAGCAGAGAAGAGCGAGGGCCAGGCCCACTGAGGCGCCCGAGGGCGCGGGGGCGGCAGCTGCGAACCGCAGGGCCAGGGCGCCCCGCGAGGGCTCACTCTGGAGGCTGGTCTCTGCCAACACGACCTCCAGGGCGAGCATGCGACGCTGGCTGCAGGAAGAGGCGCCGGGCGACATCCTCTTCGTGCAGGAGACGGGCGTGGCGCCAGGAGGATTCCTGGCGGTCTCGGTCTACCTGGTGGCGACCACCTGCGGCCTGGACCCCGAGAGCAGGGTGCTGCTCGCGCGGCTGGGACAGTACCTCGAGGCGGTGCAGGCCCAGTACATCATCGGCGGCGACTGGAACTGCGCGCCGCAGGAGCTCGAAAGAGGGGGCTGGCCAGATCGAGTCTCGGGCTTCGTGGCGAGCTCGGGGCAGACCACCTGCAGAATAGGAGGAGGCACAGAGATCGACTTCTTCGTGGTCTCCAGCAACACGGGCGCAGCCGTGAAGAAGGTCTCGCGTCTGGACGCAGCCCTGAGCCCGCACTACCCAGTGCAGCTGACGCTGGACGGCAAAAAGGAGCCTGAGAGAGCGCTGCGGCATCGGGCACCAAGGCCCTTTCCCACCGAGCGACCCGAGGGGCAGAGGCGGGAGCCGCCGTGCTGGACAGGCTTGCTTTCGGAGCTGGCGGACGCCATCGCGGCGGTCGCACCTGGCAGCGCCGCAGGCAACCAGGGCCCGTCAGAGGATGGCCCCGAGCCTGCCAGGGAGGCCGACGACGCCGCCCCTGGAGGGGCTCCCGAGAACGTCGAGGCCGCCATGCTGGACGAGTCCTTCGACCAGGGAGGCGGCGAGAGGCGCGATCCTGGGGGGCCAGTCCCGTCGGGAGCGGCCCCCCAGGATCCAAGTCCTGGGACTGGCAGTTGGGGGCAGCCTGCGATAAATTGCCCTGCTCGTGTGGCGAGCTCCGACGGCCATGGGACATTGCCGAGCGGTCTAGGGCCACCCGTCCTGCTGCCACCGTCGGCGTCGGCCGAGGCGCTGCGAGGAGTTCGCGCGTGCTACGACGAGGACTGGACAGAGGTCGTCCATTCCCTGAAGGGCGACGTGCTGGACTTGCCCCCGTGCGCCGCCACGGAGAGCGAGACCGAGCCTGCAGGGCAGGTCAGCGGCGCAGGCCAGAGGCACTCTGGCGAGGAGGCGGTCGAGTGCGTGGCCAAGGTCGAGCGGCTAGGCCCTGCTGCGGGGCTCGAGGCCCCGCGGGCCACGGGCAGCTGGCCTCGGACGCTGGACGAGCTCTACGCCAGCTTCGCGGCGCTGATGGAGGAGGACTTGGGCGGCCTTGTCGACATGAAGCAGGAGGACCTGATGAAGTGCGCGGGCCGCGGCGAGTCCGCCCGCATCCAGGAGGGCACCATCAGCGCCAGCAGGCGGGGGACGCGCGCCCGCGGCTCCCCGCAGGCGCGCACCTGGCACATGATCGCGGCGCTGCTTTGGGAGAGGCTGGCCAGCAGGCGCCGCTTGCGGGCGCCGCACCTTGTCTCGAGGGAGCTGGACGTGCTGGCGAGGCTGCAGGCCAAGATAGTCAAGCTGGCTGCGCAGGACCTGGTAGGCGACATCGGCCTTAAGTTCCTGTCACCGCTGGCGGGTTGCTCCTTCGCCACGACGCTGCTCCGCGTGGTGCTGGTCGAGCCTTTGGACGCGTTGCTGGCGGCCTGGCAGAGGGTGCGCCCATACTTAGTGGTCGACGACATCACGGTGGCGGTCTACGCCAAGCGAGCGCAGCTGGAGCATTTCTTGGTCGGGGCCACCCGCGCCCTCTGCTGGGACCTGGAGGTCATCGGCTTCATCATCTCCTTGATGAAGGGCCAGGTTCTGAGCACCGACTCCGACAGCGCCAAGCGGGTCGCCCACAGGCTCAGACGTTGGAGGTTCACGCGCGTGAAGGCCACGAGGAACCTCGGCGTGGGCTTCACTATGGCGAGGTCGGCCTCGTGGAGGGTGCTATGGCAGAGGATCGATCGCCTGAGCCAGAGGGCTGGGCGGTGCAGGGCCTTGCGCAAGGCGGGGGCCAAGAGGCTCTCCAAGGTTTTCAGGACAGGAGGGCTGGCGTCCATCCTCCACGGAGCGAGGGTCAGTGGAGTACCCACGAAGACCCTGCAGCGAGCCAGAGCAATCAACGGCAGGGCCAGCGAGGGCGAGATCGGCCAGAGATCCAGGACGGTCGTCTTCGCCCTGCAGGAGGGCAAGGGCTGGAAGCACGACCCCGCCTACGCGGCGCACGTCCTACCGCTGAGGGCTTGGGCGCGAGCCGTCTTCCTGGGCGCGCGGCCCCCTGCGGTCTTCAAGCAGGTGCTGGAGCGCAGACCAGACGGCTGGGGCGAGGTCACTGGGCCAGCTGGGGCGGTCCGCCTCTCGCGGGAGCGCATCGGCTGGGAGCCGTTGAATTGGCACTGCTGGAAGGACGACCGCGGGCAGTTCATCGACGCACCAGGCGCGGCGCGCCACGGGCTGTTCGCATGGCCCGCCATCGCCTGCTGGGCGCGCGACATGGGTTCCCAGGAGATCGCCGACGCAGGCAGGAGGGCGCCGCAGGACGACCTGGGCCTGGTCAGGGGCTTTGTCCACCTCGGACTGGACCAAGCCCCGCCCCCCGGCATGGACGAGCGCTGCCGTCGCGCAGGCAGCGCGAGGCACGGCTTCCTCGAAGGTGTCATCTGCATCGACGGGTCCGCGATGTACCCCGAGGCGGTAGACGACGTCGGGAACACCGTCGGCGGCCTCCTCGGGCTCACGCCAGGCGGGATCCAGGAGATCGGCTATGCTGAGCTCTACGCGCTGCGCAAAGTTTTGGAGGAGGTCGGCCCATCGCCCATCACGGTCTACACGGACTGCAAGGGGATCAAAGACGGCTTGGAGGCGGGCCGTGAACGCTGCAGCGGCCCAGGCCACAAGTATGCGGACCTGTGGAGACGGATCTGGCAGCGGCTCGACGACCTCGGCCCTGGCTTCTTCACGTTGACGTGGCTGCCGTCGCACACTTCGTGGGCCAGGGCCGGTGTGGCAGGCGTGCCTTGGCGGGCATACGCGGGCAACAGCGAGGCAGACCTGAGGGCGAAGGAGGGCGCCAGGCTCCACCCCAGGCAGGAGCAACTGAGTGAGCTGAGCCGCCGCCTGGACGCCGCAACCGTGCAAGCAGTGGCCTGGTGCGGCCACCAGACGGGTGGCTGCATCGTGTTCTGTCGAACATGCGGGGCCCACGGGAGTCGCCAAGCAAAGTTCCTGGCCGATCCCTGCGTCCCGCTGGCCAGCAAGGGCCGTGATGCGGCTCGCCTGGCCCGCCGCGCCCTCGAGTGCCTCAGTGCGGGGCGGGGACCCCAGACTGGCTGCCGCTGGGGAGCGCCCCCGCTCCCAGTCTCGAGGGCGGCGGCGAGGAGGGTTTAATTTTGGTTTCGATCGGACTCCAAGGGGCCCCCGCGCCAGGTCTCTTGCCTGGCGGGTCCTGGGTCTGCCGTGGAGTGTTTTGATCCCCGTTTGGGGCCGAGGCTGGTTTGCAGAGCGGACCGCCTTCTGGTAGGAACTAGAGGAACTAGAGGAGGAGGAGGAGGAGGAGGGAGGGGGGAGGTATGATCAGGGAGGCGAGATAGCAGCTGCACCGCCACAGACGATGGAGGAGGGAGGAGGGAGGAGGGAGAGTGGTAGGGAGGAGGAGGTGGAGGAGGAGGAGGAGGAGGAGGAGGAGAGTTTCAGAAGATGTGCTGAGAAGGTGGAGGCGATCGAGGGGGCGAATGGGACGTGAGGGAGGGCAGTGGGGAGATCGTCTGCTGCCTGGGAGGGCAATGGTTGAAGCACGTAGTGGGTGCCGGCGCCTGAGGCAGCAGCAGGGGCCGCGGCCTCAGCATCAGCAGCATATGCTGGAGCGGCCGTCTCGGAATTGTCACCAGCAGCAGCTATCGGCAGCGCGAAACGTCAGTTGCCTCATCGGCAGCATATAGTCAGCCGGCACAGTAAGGATTGGCAATTTTCCGAAGGGTACCCTTGCATCCTTGCCCCATTCGGCCCATCCTTGGCGACTTTCGTTGGCCAACCTCGTTCGAACAATGTTAATGTGGGCCTCCCATGCCCTTGCATCCTTACCGCGCATCCTTATGATACGGGTTGATTGTAAGTATCAGCGGACATGCCGTTCGAAGTATAAGTCAATGTCGGGAAGAATCGGAAGGATACTTGCAGGCAGGAACGAGTGCCCCACGGCGATGTCGTTGGGCCTTTTCGGGAGGACGCATGTTTCTGTTTGTCGGTCGGGACTCAAAAGACAGGGTCAATTCAAACTTGGGTCAGTCAGAGCGCCAGATCTTGCATGATGCTGCAGAGCCAGGGCTTGCACTGACCAGGGCTCGGGTGCAGGAGCCTACAGGACCCTGCAGTATCTTGCAGGGTGCTACAAAGCCTGACGGACCCAGGCTTGGATTGACCCGCATCAGTAGATCCCCGAGTTTGGCGTCCTGTCTTCATGATGACCCAGCGTAAAGGGAGATTAAGTTCTGGTCGTTCACTTGGGTGTCTTGGCTGCCACTCCCCCACCTCCAGTTCGGAACGCGCAGAGAGAGACCCGGGAGGAGGCGAGCCAAGCACCAGGCCATCATGAATCTTGGAAGCAGATGCGCTTCCCGACAAGGCGGTCTCCCCAGCGCTGCACAACCGAATCGCCACCGACAGCGCAAACCCGTCAGAGATGTTGCCCCTGCTTGGTTGTTTCTTTGGGGGGGGCTGGGGCCGCGGGAAGCAGAGTACGGCCTCCAGCTCCATCGCCTACGCGCGGAGCGGTGAGCTGCTATCTGGGAAGGCTTGCCGCCAGCGTCTGGAGATCGCCGTGCCTCGACGGAGCCACCGGGAAGAAGGAGGAGGAGGAGGAACAGGAGGAGGAGGAGGAGGAGCAGGAGGAGGAGCAGGAGGAGGAGGAGCAGGAGGAGGAGGTGGTGGTGGAGGAGGAGGAGGAGGAGGGGGAGGAGGAGGAGGGGGAGGAGGACAAGTTAGGTGCGCTCGCGTCAACATCTGACATCCTACCCCACCCTCCCATCCCTTACCATGGCGCTGATTTTCTCTATCCGCGGACGCGTGTCGTAGCGAACCTGTGGCTCCGCGCGCGTGTGCGTAGTGGGTGGTGGTGCGCGTGCGTGTGTGCGTGGTTGTGGTTGTTGTGGTGGTGGTGTGTATGTGTGTGTGTGTGTGTGCGTGTGTGCGCGTGTGCTGTGGTGTGACGTGGTGTGGCGTCTTGGTGGTTTGGTGGTGGGTCAGGTGCGTACGTGCGTGATGGCGGTG